GCTTCTTCCCCTTTCATTTCGTCGTCCTAAGTTCCGTCTTCTTCCTTCAAGACAACCGTACCTAACCTCCCTTGCTCTTCCTGGTTTCCTTACCCCTCACAGCCTTCCCTGCGTTGGACCCTTGCAGGTTGTCATAGAACAAATCTTCTGCCTTCCTCTCCCTCCCTCTTTCATCACGGGTGCTCCCCACTCACCCAGCCGCACATACACATGCCGTCTCTTGGCTCCTTCCCCTCGCGCTCTGCCCACTCCCTGCAACCCTGGCTGTCCCAGAGCACTGTAGGAAGGAAAGAGTGGTGGTTGCTAAAAACTTCCCTTCGCAGGGAAGAGCTTTACAGGTGGGCTCTGCACACAATTCTGCCTCGGAACCTAACTAGGGACATAATAGGTGGGAGGGGGGCGAGGGGGTTTGAGGACAACCCCCCATCAGAACCGCTATGATGTCAGACCTGGATGTGCCTGTAGCCCAGACCTTTCTGGGATAGAGAAGGAAACTAAAATGAAAACTGATGGCCAGTGAAATTAACCTTCTCAAAGCCACAAAGGCAATGAGCGGAGTCAGACCTGTATTATACATCCATATTCTCTCCGTGGCCACTCTGCTTCTGTGTGCTAAGAGAGGGGGACGAAGGGGGAAGTGACCCATTCCAAGTTCTTGGTCTTACTGGTTACTGTTAGCGGAGGGGCAGCAACACACTATAAAGACATAATAAGAATCCCCCCCCCCCCCGCCAAGAAGCTTTTCATAATAATGACAACTGACATTTGGGTAGTGTTTTAGCATTTCTGTGTAGGTTTTCGTTCTACCCCCACAACAGACCAGTCGGTGGGGGAATTATTATTGAATTATTTTTACCAATGAAACACAGGTTCAAAGGCACTAAGTCGTTTGCTCTTGGTCATACAACTAGGAAGTGGAGTTATTAGGACTCAAGCTAGCTGTAAGGCTCCAGGGGAGCATTGTATCCCTCATCGCTGCACCCCTGAAGCCCAGCCCATTGCTGAATGACTAAGTGAACCTCAGGACTGGCTTAAGTTCTCTGAGCTTTTATTTTTATTTGCTTTTAAGTAGGCTTCATGCCCAGTGCAGGGCCCAGTGGGGGGCTTCAACTCATGACCCTGAGATCAAGACCCGAGCTGAGATCAAGAGCTGGACCCTTACCTGACTGAGCCACCCAGGTGCCCCGTTCACAAACCTTTTAAACTAGGGTCCTACCACTGCAGAGACCACCTCAGTGAAAGAGATAGGTGTAGACACAAAACCTGCTCAGCAAATACACACAAGTCCAGCTGATACAAAGATACACTTCTTTTGCTTGGGCATTTAAGGAAATGGTGAAAGGCACTATTCTTTGCCCTATGTTAGAAAGAGCCTGGGTGGGGGTGCCTGGGTGCCAAAGTCATTTCAACTTCTGACTCTTGATTTCACCTCAGGTCATGATCTCACAGTTTGTGGGATCAAGCCCCGCATCAGGCTTTGTGCTGATAGCACTGAGCCTGTTTGGGATTCTCTTTCTCCCCCTCTCTCTGCCCCCTCCTGCTCCCACTCTCTTTCTCTCTCTCTCAAAATAAATAAACTTTTTAAAAAAAACTTTAAAAAAGAGCCTGTGTGTGTTTCTTTGTGCCTCTGTGTGTTCTGGAGGAACGGAGATACCCCAGATGGGGAAACGCCAGGTGGGGACATAGCTTCCCTCCCCAACCAAGACAGTAACTGGACAGCAGAGGGCGCTGCACAGCTACAGACCTTGCATTCATGGGCTAATTAATCGGTTCTGGGGCCAGAAAGGTTTTCCAGAGACAGCCAGGGATCTGGGGTGATCTTCTTAGGCCTCAGGGGTTCTGTGATCCTATAGCAATTTCTCTTCTTTTCTCCAGAAACCTGAGTGACACCTGAGAGGCAGCTGAGGGACAGAGGGTGGTTTTGACATCCACTGTACCTTTTTGAATTGTGGGCACTTAGGTAGACAACTCTCCGAGCTTCAGTTTCTTCATGGGCAAGGAAAGATACTGTGTCGTGCAGAATTGGAGACGAATTCGTATCAGGAGCCCCTTGCAAGGCATGGGGTTGAACAACTGTTCCACACTTATGTTTCAATGGCCCACTCTGTGGCAGGAATAGTCCTTGGCACTGGAGAGTCCATGAATGGGCAAAAAGCAAACCTGGCCCCGGCCCTTATGGAATTTACGGCTTCGTAGCGAAGGCAGATTTTAATCGAATAACCCCACAGGCAGATGAAAAATTACACTTGTGCAAGCAAGTGCAACAGAGGCGTGGTCTTGGAGCTAGGTATGGAGGATGTGCCTCGCAGGAAGACTTCTCTGAGGTAGTGAGGAGTGAGTTCAATCTAGGGAGGAGTAGGAGTTTACTAAGCAAAAAGAGAAGGGAAAAGACTTTCAAGAAGAGGGAACAGTATACGTAATGGCTGTATGTGTGTGAGCCTGACACCGGGCTGGTGGAACTGCAGGGGAGAGAGAGAACAAGGTGAAGGTTGGTGGGAGATGAAGCCAGAGAGAAGCAGGGATCAGATGACATAGGACCCCACAGGCCTCCTTACAGAGTTTTGTCTTTAGCCTAAAAAAGATGGGAAACTATAAAATGTTACAGTCACAGGTTATGGATAAATTTCCAATTTATTTATTTAATTTTAAATGTTTATTTCTTTTTGAGAGAGAGAGAGTGTGCATAGGGGAGTGGCAGAGAAAGAGAGAGAAACAGAGAGAGACAGAGGATTCGAAGTGGGCTCTGTGCTGACAACAGAGAGCCCGATGCGGGGCCCGAACTCACGAACTGTGAGATCATGACCAGAGCCAGAGCTGGACACTTAACTGACTGAGTCACACAGATGCACCTCCATTTTCTCTTTCAAAATCATTTTGAAGTAAACTCCACACCCACGGTGGGCCTCGAACTTACAACCCAGAGTTCAAGAGTTGCATGCTCTGCCCACTGAGCCAGCCAGTGCTGCAACAAATTTCCATTTTATTTATTTATTTAATGTTTTATTTATTTTTGAGAGAGAGAGAGATCGTGAGTGGGAGAAGGGCAGAGAGAGAGAGAGAGAGAGAGAGAGAGAGAAAGGGAGACACAGAATCGGAAGGAGGCTGCAGGCTCTGAGCTGTCAGCAGAGAGCCCAATGTGGTGCTCGAACCCAGGAGCTGTGAGATCATGACCTGAGCCAAAGTCAGACACTTAACCGACTGAGCCACCCAGGCGCCCCAACAAATTTCCATTTTAAAATGTCTCTCTGGCTCCAGGACTCACATCTTCTTTGCCTCAATGCACCCTGAAGTGGAAAGCTGCTAAGTTCTGCTGGCTGATTCTTCCTTCTCATCTCTTGTAGCCCTCAACATCTCTCATGGGAGAATTGCAATGGTTCCTAACTGATCTCTCCACTTGCAGTCTCCGGTGCAGTCCTCTCCTTCCCCTCCAGTCCGGCATCCTCTACACAACAAGCTTTATCTTATGTGATCTTCACAACATGCTTGCAAGTAAGTGAAGCAGCGATCCTTATCCCCATTTTGCAGATGGCAAAACTGAGGTATAAAGGTGCCGGAAGCTGGCTCATTCAGGACTGTGAAAGCCCAACTGTTAAAATTTCAGGAATTTTGCAAGCCAATCATAAAACACAGCCACTATTAAAAATTAAATTACACGCACTTAAAATTAAATGAGGTTTAAAACAAAGGTAATAAATTTTCAAAACTCATCACTTTCTAATAATTTTACTATTATTACTCACTGACGCTCTTGGGGTTGTTATCGTATCTGCGTGATGAAGCTACTACATAAGGGTATGTTACTGCTCATCTCTTTTTAACTCCATGTTCAGTAACAACGTGTGCGGTAGATTAAAATCAGCCAGGGTAGGAATATTTACACCATGGATATTAGCAAATGCTACAAATCAGGGCCTTGATTTATCGTTTTGTGGATTATCTATATTTAAGAAAGTGATGGAGAAAAAGTTAACAACTCAGATTTAAATTTAATGTTAGGACCAGAGTCATTACAATGTGAATAGCAAAAACATTGAGAAAATGTTTTCAGTATTTGAAAGCTCTTTTCTGATTCAGCAAGCAACTCACTCCCATAATAGGACCCTCTTTATTTTTTCATTTTCCTCTTACAGTGACATTGAGGAAAACACCAACCAACATTCGTGTTGCAATTCCTTGGTCAATTGATACCAGAGGCTACCCATACAACAGTCTGCCAAAAATCAATGATTTTTTTTTCACTTTTGGGGTTCTTGGGTGGCTCAGTCAGTTAAGCATCCAACTCCTCATTTTGGCTCAGGTCAAAATGAGAGATCGAGCCCTGCATGCGGCTCGACGCTGACAGCACGAAGCCTGTTTGGGATTCTCTCTCTCAAAAATCAAATAAACTTAAAGAAAAAGATTTTTATTTTTAAATAATGTCTACACCCAAAGCGGGGTTCACAACCCAGAGATCAAAAGTCGCAAGCTCTATGGATTGAGCCATCCAGGCGCCCCAATGAAAGGATTCTTGAGAATCAGTGAGTGATATGGAATTGGCAACTGTATACTATTATTATCTTTGCAAATTGTGTGCTGTACACCTTTACATCAGTAAAATTAATAATAAACACATGTACCCATTATGTATGCATATATTGCTCTCTTCTCTCCAGAAATGTCCAACATTTATCAGCACACCACTGGTTCTAGAACGCACATTATTCATGTGTCATTCCATCAATATTCACTGGATGCCAGCAGGGATACAGATAGTCAATGGAGAAATGCTCCACCGCACCAGAGAGAGGCGGTTTCGGCCTCGGCGCCCGGGAAGTGAAAAGCAAGGGTCGGGGCAGGGGACCAACGGCCAGGCGAGAAGCAGCCCACGGCCAATAGCGGCCTAGGCCGCACTTCACGTCACGCTCCGTGGAGGCCGGCGCGAGCACGCCCTGGGGGAGGGGGCGTGGTCATAGCCTCCCGGAAGTGACGCCATCCGGGGGCGGTACTCGGCGGCGGCGGCGGCGGCGGCGGCGCGCGGCCTGGGCTCGCGCTGAGCTCCGCGCGCCCCCCGCCCCCCTCTATGAGGCAGAGGCCGCGGCGGCCGTTAGCGCTGTCGCTCCGGGGGCCGCGGCGGGCGGGGCTCCGGCGGGGCCCGGCCTAGTCCCCACCCCAGCCCGGCTCCCAGCTGCCCGCCCTCCCTCCCTCTCCCCGATGCAGGGGGCCGAGCTCCGGGATGGCGAGGCGGCGGCGGCGGCCGCTTCGTACCGCGTCCTGAGCCGCCTGCTCGGCTATGGAGAGGCGGCCCCCGAGCCTGGCCCGCCGCCGCCGCCCCCGGGCCATGGCCCCCCGCCGCCACCCTTCCTGCCGCGGCCCGGCCCGCGGGGCTCCCGGCCGCCGCAGCTGATGGTGTTCCGCAACGTGGGTCGGCCGCCGGAGGAGGAGGACGCGGAGGCGGCCCCAGAGCCGGGACCCTCGGAACTGCTGTGTCCCCGGCACCGCTGTGCCCTGGACCCCAAGGCCCTGCCGCCGGGGTTGGCGCTCGAGCGGACCTGGGGCCCGGCGGCTGGACTGGAGGCGCAGTTGGCGGCTCTGGGGCTCGGGCAGCCGGCGGGGCCGGGGGTCAAGACGGTCGGTGGGGGTTGCTGCCCCTGCCCGTGCCCCCCGCAGCCGCCCCCTCCGCAGCCCCAGCCCCCTGCTGCCGCCCCGCAGGCCGGGGAGGACCCCACGGAAACGAGCGACGCGCTGCTGGTCCTGGAGGGCTTGGAGTCGGAGGCCGAGAGCCTGGAGACGAACAGCTGCTCGGAAGAGGAGCTCAGCAGCCCGGGCCGCGGAGGAGGAGGGGGCGGCCGGCTTCTGCTGCAACCCCCGGGTCCTGAATTGCCCCCGGTGCCCTTCCCTATGCAGGACTTGGTCCCCCCCGGGCGCTTGAGTAGAGGGGAGCAGCAGCAACCGCCCCCGCCCCCGCCCCCTCCCGGGCCCCTCCGGCCACTCGCGGGCCCTTCTCGGAAGGGCTCCCTCAAAATCCGTCTCAGTCGCCTCTTTCGCACGAAGAGCTGCAACGGCGGCTCCGGAGGTGGGGATGGGGCCGGCAAGAGGCCTTCTGGAGAGCTGGCTGCTTCGGCTGCGAGCCTGACGGACATGGGAGGCTCCTCGGGCCGAGAACTGGACGCGGGGAGGTGAGACTGGCTGGGGGGGCGGGGGGGGAAGGGGGGCTGGCCGACAAACTTCGTTTTCTTGTTTCATTTCCCTTTCATTCTGCAAACAAGATCCTAACCGTTCTTACGAGATGCTTGTCCTAAGGAGACAGAGAGGCTTGGGGCTAAAGGTGGCGACCTCACCCATTAGGTCAGACCACTAATGGTGGGAACAGCTTTCATTCTAAGGGTTCAGCATCTCTCCTGTTGGGAGATGGTTTGAAACCATCCCCTGACCCCGACCCCGGCCTCGATTTTAAAGTTTTCCCAGGTGTCTGTCTGACATTACTCCTGGTGGGGAGGCTGCTGCAGATGTTTGGTCTTTGGGGCAAAAAGTTGGTGTTGTGACCACCTTGCTTACCGGTTCTGTGCACCAGCACCCCACCCCTTTCACACTCACACGGACAAATGATGCGACACACTTGTGCAGTTGTAGGCCAGCAATCGTTTGGGCACCTCTGTTCCAAACGTTTATTTATCTTTTAAAGTTTTAATTTATCTTTAAGTAATCTCTACACCCAGCGTGTGGCTGGAACTCATTCTGAGGTTAAGAGTGGCACGCTTTTCGTACTGGGCCGGCCAGGTGCCCCTCTACTCAAAACGTTAATATTTTCCTGGTTGGTTCCTTAGATATACTTGGTATCTCAAGCCCGTGTGCTGACAACACTGTGAGAATAGAAAATGGCTTGCCCTCCAGCCCTTGTGAATGTTCTAAGCGTGAGATATAGACATGGGTGTCTGAGTTCTAGGCCAAGTGATGAAAATTCCAAACTTAGATGTTGATTTTTTTTTTTTTTCTCTTCATTTCTGAAGGATGGACAGCACTGTTAGATCTGTATTTGGGTTTAGAAAACTGTCAACTTTTGTGTCAAGAAGTGAGACTTCCCTTGTGGTAACTGCTATTGTGGTTTGCACTGCTCACTGGGTTCTTACAAAGATTGGAAATTGGTCTTGGTGCAGCTCGTATGATGGATTCCTGAGACATGGGCAGCCACAACCCAAGGCTGAAGAACGGGTAGACCGGTATATTTGGGAACTTGACCATGTACCAGAATCACATGGGGGAGCTTTGGGCAAAGATCAGTCTGTGTGAAGGCCCAAGAATTTGAATTTCTACAGGGTTTCCCCACTTGGCCCTGAGTGTGACCTGGACTGGGAACCACGACTCATCCATGGACTTCTTCCTCGGGAGTTTGGGTACTCCAAGAGGAAAGCGTGGGCTCAGTGTTGACTTTGCTCCCCTTTCTGACCAGCTGTGCTCATCTTGGGGGTCAGACCAAACCCAAATTCCCCGAAAAGGTCAATAGGTCGATGTGTGTTGCCTCCTGAGGTGGACCTGTTTTTCTGCATTTGCTTCCCGGTGAACTTCTGCTGGGAGCTCAGGTCTTGAAAAACATGTGGCTGCCGGAACAGCTTTTTTTAGTAATAGGCTCTGCATTCAATGCTCCACTTGACCAGCGCAGATGAAATTTTCATCAGGTTGGGGGAAGGCAGGGGTGAAGTTGTGGGTAATGACATAGGATAGACTGCTAATTTTCTTGTGGTTTGTCTTGCCTTTGTTCCATATTGACCGAGACTTGGTCTAAGATTCCAGAGACCCCAAATATGAGGTGTGGCGTGAAATTAGCTGCTACGTCTAATAGATTAGGAAGAGGGAAATACATATAATGTTATACGGTGTTTTGCCTTTGGAAGCAGAATTTAATGGTCATTGGCTGCTCTTCCTCACACGAAGCACAATACAGATTTCTGCTGCAGAGCAAATTGGGCTGTAGCTCTGCAAAGAAGCTTAGTTCAGGGCACTGGAGAATTACATTTTTTGGTCCAAGGGCTTTTTCTGATGAATTGAAGAAGAACTCGGTATTTGTGTATGAACATTTGGTTGACTGCTATTAGGAGGCAGCGTGTCGTACAGAGAACGTGAACATCTGGATTCCACTCCCAACTCCAGCATTAGCTGGGGAATGAGGCCAGTTTTGTCGTCTTCTGTCGTCTTCATGCTTCCTCTTTTTTTTTTTTCATCTGTAAAATGGGAGTGATTCTTGTTCCTGTCCTTGTAGGAAGAGACTGAAGACAAGAGAAACTGAGCTGGAATATTTTGTGCCTTTGGAGAAGTAATAAGATTGAACTGTTATTTTTTTTTTTTTATGCTCAGGATTTGATGCTGTTAGATTTGCTTGTTAGCTTTTCCACAGCTTACTATGTGCCAGTCTTGTTGGCAGCCTCGCCGCTGTGAGAAACTGGGTAGGTCTGGCCAGGGTAGTTGTGATTTCTATGGATCCGCACCTCCTAAGTAAGTCCACCCTGTTGGGAGGAAGGATGAGTTTGGAATTTTAGGCTGTTCTCTTGTTTTGATTGGGAGGGACCTGGAAGCAGCGAGAAATGTCAGTCTTTTGCCGGAAGGTATATGCCTGCCTCCTTATTGTTGGTTTAGAGTTAATTATCAGTCTCTGCTGCGGTCTTTGCTGTATCTTTTGGCGCTTTTCAGTAACCTCTGGGTGTGATTCTCTGTGCCCTTCTCATCTACCTTTCCCACAGCAATCACTGGAAAGTACTTCCTGTAGTCCTGATAAAAACCTTAAGCGTTTCCATATCTTAACATTAAGCAAACCTTTAGTTGCTTTTATATTTTTTGGAGTCTGCTAAGTGGACCTGCCTGGATATACTGAGTCTCAAGACTCCTATGAATTCGCTTAGAGAACTCTTTTCAAGTGAGGGAAGAAATGGGCCCCCCAACTAATCAGGTTTCTGTTCTGGAGAACTGGGCTAGGCCTTGTAACGCACATATGTTGGAATTCAAAGAGCTGGGCTTGATGCCTGTGGGCCTTGGTGTGATATAGAATTGCTATTTCAGGAAAACCAGTGACGTTCCCTTGTCTGTTTCACATATGCTGAGCTGATTGTCTTCCTTTGTAGTTGCTGAGGAGTAGCATTTGACCTCACCTTTTCAGATCATCATGGAATATGCACATCGTTGGTAATGGGTACCTTGTTAGTTTTTCAAGGTTTGTCCTTTCTGAGTTAACAGGTGAGGCTACCGCTGTCGCTTTTCATAGTTGTGAGGTGGAAAAATGGAGAACAGTTCTGTAGTGGTTTGCTATCTATTTGTTTGGAAAGAAAGATACAATTCTGGAAAGAGAGGCAGGCTCCCTTGGCATCGGTTTGGGGCCCTGCTGTCATGGACAGACCTGAGACGTGAGGAGACATTGGAAAGTCTTTCCTGTTTCCTTGGGTCTTCAGGTCTAAGGGGGTCCTTTTGAGAAGTAGCATGACATGCTAGAGCAAAATGATTTTATGGTGTGTGCTGAGGAAGTTCTGACTTTATGTTTGGGTTTTGGGTCCATACTCCATTGATCTTTTCAACAATTTTTCCACAAAGCGGTTGTGGTTGGCATCTCTCTTTCGGAATGAGCAACCTAGCTTCAGAAATCTCTGTCCATTTGGGCCCGTGTCTTTCACTCCTTAACATTTTCCCCGCTAATATTCTTAGGTTTTAGACCTTGGACTGCGTCTCTTGGCTTTCCTGTGGAAGTTCCCTCCATAGGTTCTTTGGTTGGTTTATGATGGAGTTTTGGATCTGACCTTGCTGCACAGATGTCTGTGTATTGGAACTAAAAATGAACACATGGTTTTTGTGCCTGTAGCACATGAACAGACACTGGCTTATGACGTGTTGGAAATGGCACAGGCTGGCTGACTTGGCACCGTGTGCTTTAGCAGGGGCAGAGGTAAATTGTGGCCACGAAAGCTGATCTGTGGACATCCTAGTTTGGGAGTTACTGTAGAAAAGGACGTGGGTAAGACTCAGGATATCAGTAGAGGGGATTCATGGGCAAGAGAGGAGGGAGGACATTATTCTTTCATTGTTCATATTCTAGGTTTCAGGGAATTTGAAAAGTGGCCAATGGTTTTCTCAATGTGTTGTCGGCCCGTCTAGTCTAATGCTTTTAACTCATCGTATCCCACAGATCTGTGGCTGTACAGTGAGTAATTTGCAGAGTGGAAATGGACAGAGGCATTCTCTTTGTTATCTGTAGCACAAGCAATGCGTAGCTGACACACAGGACTGCTAGCCTTAAAGAAGACCTTTGCCTTAGGTCTTCTGCTGCCCCTGTCCTTTCCTGCCACCTGAGGTATACCCCACCAAATCCTACCCTGCCCTACCCCTCAAGTCTTCCTGCTGCTAAGATGCAAGTGGCCCACTGGCAAAGTTATGATGACTTAACTTTACACCCTGATGCTTGTCAGGGTGATCTGAGGAGGAAGAAAATAACAGTGGGATGTAGTATAGAAGGTTTAGTTAAAAATGTTACTGGAGCTGAATCATTCGTGTTGCTTCCCCAGAACAGCACATCCAGGGGCACCTGGGTGGCTTAGTCGGTTAAGCGTCTGACTTTCACTAGGTCATGATCTCGTGATTCGTGGGTTCGAGCCCCGCATCGGGCTCTGTGCTGACTGCCAGCTCAGAGCCTGGAGCCTATTTCAGAGTCTCTGTCTCCCTCTCTCTCTGACCCCCCCAGCTCACGCTCTCTCTCTCTCACCTAGAAATAAAAAAAAAAAAAAAAGAACAGCACATCCAGCTTAGATTAGCTTTTATTGTGTTAAATGCTTCATATATATAAAAGATACATAAAGTCCATGTACTATAATAATAATAATGAATTGCATACTTGGGTACCCACCGCTAAGCCTAGCAGATAGAATGTTATCAGTATCTTTGAAGACCCCTGTGTGTTGCTTCCTGATTACATCTCTTCCCTCCCCCGCATAACCACCATCCTCAATTTTATGTTAATCGTTCCCTTGCTTTGTTTTTTATAGTTGTCTAGATTGGTCTTTTCATGAATGACTGCCATTAGAATGCTCTCAGGATCCTTGAGACAGACACTGCTTTAGATTGTTAGTTAGACAGTTTCTACCCAAAGAAAGAAGGAGGCACTCATTTTTATTATTAGCCTTTCAGGCTCCTAGACCTTCTCCCTCTTCACGCTTCCAGCCCTGCGGGCCCCCCTCATTTACCAGAATAAGCCATCCCAGGGCTCTCAAATGGCTCTGGCTGTGTTCAGATTCATATGTATTTCTTTTTCTAGATCCTAGAAACTATGATTTTCTTCTTCACAATGTCGGGGGTGGGGGAGAAGATGAGCTGGAGTGAGAAGGCCCCCGCAAGATGTGTGCATTTGGGTACTGCCGTTCTTCAGTGCTTGGCACCGAAGAGGCTCGTCCCCAGCATGGGCAGATGGCAGAGTAATGCCGCTTCCTTTGAAAAGAGGCAAACAGCCAAATGGCTGAGGTGTGAACCCTCTGAGAGGCCAGTGCTCTAGGTTTCTGCTTGCTGAGTTTAATGTTGTGCCCCCAAGTTACCAAGTAAAAATCAGCCTGGAAGCTCTTCAGTCTTAAAGTCCGTGTCCAGTGGAAATTAGCTCTCCACTCCAGCCCTCTGGAGCGTTGGAACTAAGCTGCAGACTGTCGTGAGCAACTTGTACAGACAGAGGACCACGTGTGGTTGTGTCTTGTTTGGACGCGGCCATCTCTCCAGTGCGTCCCTTGGTTGGGGCCGGTGCGCCGGCATCAGGTGAGAAGGCTCAGGTGAGAAGGCTCGGCGTGGAAGAAGTTGCAAGGGAGTGTGAGCTGAGAATCCAGCGTCTTGGCTGTTTCTGAGTAAGGTCTTCACAATATGGTTTTGAAATTTTGTTTGAAGTGAGCCTTGAGAAGCTTGGACATCTGGGTTAAACAAAGGCAGAAGGATCTTCCGAAGTCAGATAATTTTAAGTAGGGTTTCGTGTTGGATTTTCTATGCTTCCCCTCTATTGGTGCATTGGGAGTTTTATTTAGTCCTTTGGGGGAAGTAATTTTAGAAGGTAAGCCAGGTGTAAGGCCTAGAGTCGGGCACTCAGTTCATGGGCTTTTTTTTTTTTAAGCCTGATTTCTTGAGGTATAATTGATGACCACCTAAAATTCACCTCTTTTACGTGTCTAGTTCTTTTCATTTTGACAAGCGTATATAGTCACATAACCTCTGCCACAGTCCAGATATAGCATATTTTGATCACTTCTGCAAGTTCTTTCCCTTGTAGTCAATGCAGTCATCCTGAGGGGAGTTTTTTGAGCTTAGCACATTTCTGGCCAGAAAGTCTTTGTCAGAGTCTTTTGGATTCCTTTCATTTCTCCCTGAAAAAGCCAGTTGACATTGGTACAAAGTGAAGTCACCTTTGGTGCCTCTTGTCACAGGTGATCTGGCTTTTCCAGCTGGCCCCCTGGAGTAGCCTCAAGAAGCCATAGGGAGAGCTGTGTGACTGGTAGCTCAGAGAGGGGAAGGGGCCATTTTCTTTGGGTGCCACGCAAGAGCCCCTGACCTGGGGGGACCCCCTTGTTAGCTGGTGGCTTTGCCCCACAGCTTGGGGGCATTTGTGTAGAAATCAGGGATCTTAGTGGTTGAACATTGCCTGTGCTTCTTGTAGTGCTGTGCTCGAGTCCAGGTCTAGTCCCTGATTCACTGGGGGGCCTCCTGTACGTTGGGGGCAGGGCCATAGGGAAAGCTCTGGCTCTGAGATGGCACCTGTTCAGGTTAAGAGCCTTTTTTTTTCTTGACTTCCTTGTGAAAATCAACCCTGCATCTAACTTCCTTCCTCTAGACATGGACTTGGTAATTACCGCTCGGGGTGTTTTACTCTTGTAATGAACCGGACGTGGAGAGATCCAGAGGGATTTCTCATTGCTTCATAGGCTGAATTTTGTAGCCAAATCTGTTTAGAAATTGCCTTAATTGTCTCATTCTCCCCCCCTTTAAATTTTAGGCTTTCTTACAAAAGTGTGGCTGACAGTGACTAGGATTTGCTTTTTGTTTTTCAGTGCATCAGGAATTGAGTGTTGTAGTGATTTGAATGCATATGTATCCATTTCCCCCACCCTCCATTATTCTCTCTCTGTGTGCTTTCTCACCCCCTAGGAAACCCAGGTTGACAAGAACTCAAAGTGCCTTTTCTCCGGTCTCCTTCAGCCCGCTGTTCACAGGTAAGGGTGATTGCTTTCTTTTTCTTCTGACATCTGAAAGCAGAAGCATTCTGAGTCCTGGCAGGAAACACCTGCAGATGCATCGCGGCTGGAGTTTCAGGCGTGTCTACAGTTACTGTCTTCATTCCGCGCCCGCTGGCTTTGGGGTGAGGCTATTTTTATGGTGTGGAATGTGTTCTTGACTTTGGATGCTTTATAGTTTGAGGTAGAGACTGCTTACCGGTAATTAGGTGGCCCTGGCAGTTACGTGGTGCTTAGTTCAGGGTCATCACGTATAAATTAAAAGTAGGAGCTACAAATTAGGCTCGCGGTGCAGAAAGGACTCTCTAGAAGTCCTACAGTTCCTGTCGCTGCTTCCAAGGGAGTTCATGGATTATCTCATAAACATGATCCATGATTATCTAGTCTATTTTTAAGGACTTTGGGCAAAGGGGATTAGGTGAACTCTTGTCTTATCCATTTTAGGGGCCAGGAGTTCTTGCAGCTGTTAGAGTTCTCCATCATGCCTAATTTAAGGCTTTCCTCTTGCAGCAGGGAACACAGTTGCTCAAGTAGGAAAGTGGTTGAGTATCCTTGGGTGACCGCCTTCTCTTTAGTGGGGGGACTTGTGCAGATAGAGAACCTGTGCATTATGTCAGTCACATACGAAGCTCCTGCTTGAGTAAGCAGTCGAGAAGGCTGTTAGCACACTGCGTTGAGTCTCTGGAACTGAGTACTCCTCATCACGGACTGAGCAGAAAGTCCTAATTTCAGACTCTTCTGGAGATTGTATTCCTCAAAAAGATGACTGGAAGAATTATGATTTAGGAATGGGCATTTCCAGAAGTTGTGAAGCAGGTGAGTGGGACCCCCATGGTTGCGTGGGGTGCCCCGAATCACCAGAACAAGTGGGTTGGTGTCTGTAATGGGCACAGGTGGAGAAGGAGGCCCAAGCCCAGAATGAAAGATTCTTACTCTGTAGCCGCATGTCTTTCTCGTTAAAGTGTTTTCTCTTTAAAGTAAGGAACACCTATCCAGCATGGTACTTTAAGGTTTGGTGTTCCTGTGTTTTAAACAGCCTTATCTCTCCTGAGTTACATGTTTTATATAAATGCTATACCTGCCATCCAGACCTCTGACCCTTCAGGAAATATGCTTGTCTGGGCCTACTGTGTTGCTCTGGGCTGCTAGGCTCTCAGTTACTAAGCCATGTGATGATTTCAGTTTCCACCTCCCAGAACACTGATGACTTAAAATAATTCTTTTTAATGTTCACTCATTTTTGAGAGGCAGAGACCGAGCGCGAGTGGGGGAGGGGCAGAGAGAGAGGGAGCCACAGAATCGGAAGCAGGCCCCAGGCTCTGAGCTGTCAGCACAGAGCCTGACATGGCGCTTGAATCCACGAACTGTGAGATCATTAACTGAGCTGAAGTCGGACGCTTAACTGACTGAGCCACCCGGGTGCCCCTCTACTGATGGTTTTTAACTCAGCTTTTCTTTTTTGTTTTCTTCCTTTCTTTCTAAATGTTTGTTTATTTATTTTGAGAGAGAGTGAATGCATGTGCGTGGGAGCCAGGGAGGGGCGGGGGGGGGGGGCGGGGGAGAATCCCAATCAGGCTTTGTGTTGTCCACACAGAGCCCAGTGTGGGCCTTGATATCAAAAAACATGAAATTGTGACCTGAGCTGATACTCAACCAACTGAGCCACCCAGGAACCTCTCTTTCTTTCTTTTTTCTTTTTTTTTTTTTAAACTAAGCTCTACACCCAATATGGGGCTTGAACATGCAATCCTAACATCAAGAGTCATGTGCTCCACTGACTGGGCCAGCCACCCCTTGCAGAGCTTTTCTGCTTATCTTAATTCATGCTCAAGACCTTTATGAAAAACCATGTATTAGATTCTGAAAGACCAGCTCGTGGCCTTTTGGAGATACTGGTTACCTCATTTTCTTAACTGGGAAGTAATAAAATTCTAGCCAAAGAGTTAATTCAGCCTCCCAAATGAGAAAAAAACGATTGTTGGAAATAACACCCTAAGGACCAAATTAGAGAAATTTTAAATTCTGCCCTGTGGGTCAGACCTACCAAAATTTGGTTGTCAATCTTTGTTAATAAAATACCCTTTACCCTCTGGTGACTGAAGTGGAGAGAGGGTAGATGGGGTTGGATGGCAAGGAGGAGTGTAAATGGCAGAGAACAAAACTGCATGATAAGCTGGAAGTGAGGGAAACCATGTGCCAGCCCCCATCAGGCTCCCACAGAGCTTACCTGATTTGGCTGACTGTGGAAGTAATTTATTTTTAAGATTGTAAATGCACAGCTTGTTAGGAACTAGTTGGTAGCTGAAATGGTAGGTTCTCTTATGAGTAAATATTCTGGAAAATCTAGCTGTGGAAAGCCATTTAAGAAGAAGTTGGGGCTCACATTGGGACCTTTTTCTGCATTCAGCTTACCATGCTCTTCTTACGTTTTTCTGGCACTTGTTTTCCATGTCCATTTGTACTTGTAACAAGCTGCTTGCCTTGCTCTCTAAGGCAGAAACTGGTATATACGTCTGTAAAAATAAATGGTGTGGCTTCTATTCGAATAAAGAGCCCTGGTTCAGGGTTATCTAGTGGCGCAACCACAATTAGTTGGCCTTTCTACTGTCAATCCCATGTTTTTGTCCCAAAGAATCCTTGACCTTTAACAGGGCAAAGAAATGATAGAATTTAAAATTGACTGCCTGGGCATTTGGGAGTGATTCCCAGTCTGGGAAACGTTAGGTGTTGGGGGATTTGAGAGCCGGGGACCTCTAGCCTTTCTTGCTTGCCCTTTATCTTTCTTTGCTTCCGGCCTCAGCTTCAGGCAAGGTGCTTCAATAACATGCTTGCTCCCTGAATCCCTCAGGTGAAACTGTGTCGCTTGTGGACGTGGACATCTCTCAGCGGGGCCTGACCTCTCCACACCCTCCAACTCCCCCTCCTCCTCCAAGAAGAAGCCTCAGCCTCCTAGGTATGGTCTCTGCCCCTCTCTGCCTTCTTGCTCTAGTGGGAGGGGGTGTGTCTGGGGACCTGTTGTTCTTTTCCAGGAGCAAACAAGATCCTGGGCTTCTGATAATGACCCAGTTATTCCCTGCCCTTGTCATCTCCCTAAACGGTTAAACGGGTGTCCTATCTGCGTGCTGTAACATTTGCTGCCTGTATGTTGATTAGATCTGTATTTATCTGGCCCTGAATCTGCTGCTAGTAGACTGTTTTAGGGAGACCCTTAGTTTTCTGCTTTCGACAAAGGACACCAGGTTAAGATGATGGTTGCCCTCTGTGCCAAAAGCCAGGGTGAAGGTCAGGCCATCTTGCTCCAGAGGGCAGCCTGATGATCCTTCTCCCTCTCCTGTGCTTCACCTCACTCATCTGTGCTCATATTTCTGAACCTCTTGCTTCTGTTCTCTCTTCTAGATGATATCAGTGGGACGCTGCCTACATCTGTCCTTGTGGCTCCGATGGGGTCTTCCCTGCAGTCTTTCCCCCTACCTCCGCCTCCTCCACCCCATGCCCCAGGTTAGCTTAGCTTAGAGGCAAGCCTTGTAAAAGTTGGGAGTGCAAAGTGACTTGAAGGATGGGAGAAGTCTGTTTATGGAAATAGCAGAACTTAGGAGAAAGCTTAAATCTCATCCCCTCGCCTAGGCCAGAACTCCTTGGAATTGAGTCCAAGGACCAGTTTTTCTAACCCATTTTCCCTATGGAGATGAATCTGACTTTTGCTGGGGATAAAAAGACTATTGAATTTTTCCCCTCTTGGTTGCTGAGACTGGTTTGCGATCTCTTGGTGGATCTCACTTGGGAACTTTCCCTAATTTCAGGATGGTGAGGAGGTTTAAAGTCTTCAGAGTTCCCTGTTTTTTTCTAAGCTTTTAATATTTACTGCAGCCTTGTAAATAAGTACCAAGCATTTAGTAGCCCGTACCTGCTTTGCCAGCCTCCAGTACCCACGGAGTAAAATGAATGAAATCGGCATTCTTTCCTACTTGCCTGGCAAAATCGTTCCTCTTCCTGGGCAAGTAAGCGAGTCACTATTTCCAAGGCTGCTTTCCCGGCGCTTCACCTCGAGTGGGAGAAGCTGGAATCGCTCTAGGCTGGTGAAGCCCCTGAAGTAGTCACCTTAGTCAGGTTAGTGAGCAGCTCCCCTCCCCCTCTCCTGGGGCGAAATGCCCCCGCCCATCCTTCACAGCTTACACAAGCCCACACAGCTTTGTGTTCCAGCCCATCCAGCTCTTTTCCACTGCTTTGGCTTCCACGCTTTCCAGCTCAGCTTCTAATGCCTTGCCCCTCTTCAGTTAGCATCTCTGTTTTTGGGGGGAGGATCTGCTTGTGGTTGGGAGCAAGGAGGGAACGAGTGACCACCCCCCTCTTGCCCTGCAGACGCATTTCCCCGGATTGCTCCCATCCGAGCAGCCGAATCCCTGCACAGCCAGCCCCCCCAGCATCTCCAGTGTCCCCTCTACCGGCCCGACTCCAGCAGCTTTGCAGCCAGCCTTCGAGAGTTGGAGAAGGTAGGTGGTGCCTGGGGCCTGGCGGCGGGCCTCCTCTCCCACTCCCCTTCCTCTGTACTGGGCTCTCCTTTTCTTGGTTTTAGAGGAAGAGTAGTTATCTTGCCTCTGTATTTACAGTGCCAAAACAGTTATGCTGCTGTGATCAGTTCCATATGAGACGTTGTAAAATTGAACCTTGGAGACAAAATATTGAACGTGGTAAGAAAGGTTGTGGAGGAATGTTTACAGAGTTGAAGTTGACTTCGATAGATTAACTGACCCAGCTCCCACCTCTCTTCTTTGGAGGGCCTTGGTAATGGGATTGTAGGCTTATTCTTCTGTGACTTTGGAGGGCTAAGACAACGAGCCTGCCGTTTTGCTAATGGTTAAGACAGTTGCAGCTTTTCCCCAGTGAAATGTTTGGGAAGTAATAGGAAGGGGGCCTCTCCTGTGGTAAAACGGACTGTGCTGAAAGCTCGGGCATTTCCCTGGGCTGTAAATTACTTGACCACTTCTTATCTTTGATAGTGTGGTTGGTATTGGGGACCAATGAATTGGGAAGATGCAGAGATGAAGCTGAAAGGGAAGCCAGATGGCTCTTTCCTGGTACGAGATAGCTCTGACCCTCGTTATATCCTGAGCCTCAGTTTCCGGTCACAGGGGATCACCCACCACACGAGAATGGAGCACTACAGAGGTAAGGGGTGCTGTTTGAGGAAAGCCTTCTTCCCCCTCTGCCTGTCTCTACTTGTCCTATCTGGCTTTGTCACAGGAAGGATTTCTAGAAGTGGAACTATGAATAGGGAGGGAAATCTCGTACTCAGTTGTATGTTGTTATGAGTGCTGGTTTCAGTCACTAGAAGAAATGTTGGTGGGGGTTTAGAAGTTTTAGTTTTTAGAAGTGTTCTCTGTATTTTTTTTTAAAATTTTTTAATGCTTTATTTATTTCTGAGAGAGAGAGACAGCGTGAGCAGGGGAGGGTCAGAGAGAGAGAGGGAGACACAGAATCTGAAACAGGCTCCAGGCTCTGAGTTAGCTGTCAGCACAGAGCCCGACGTGGGGCTCAAACCCACAAACCGTGAGATCATGACCTGAGCCAAAGTCGGATGCTTAACCGACTGAGCCACCCAGGCGCCCCTGTTCTCAGTATTTTATCTCCACAACAGGAGGGCCTGAGCAAAACTATTGAACAGAGCAAAGCCAGTGAAACTCTCTTGATAGAAGGAAGAAGTAACCTAGGACCATTAGACAGATTCTCCCAAACGTCATTCATAATTAAACTTAACATCTAGAGAGACTTTCTATTAAATCCTGCACACAAAGAAGAGGCTTTAGAGCCCATCCTGTGACTATTCTGTAGTGAATTTCTTTGCCTGAGGGTCACATCAGCTCTTCCTGCCAAGCAGCATGGTGTGAATTTCTTTTGGTCAGCCATGGAGTCTCTTAGGAAATAGTCATCAGAACTCAGAGACTTCATGGGATCAATGTGCGTTAGATTATCTGCCTTCCTCCCCAGTGGTACCCCCACCTGTGTGGTCAGCTTGTGTTTCATGCTGCGGTCACTTCTAGAAGCTGATTTGTTCAGCACCGCTGTCTGGATTGACTTTGCATCATGGCGGTCTGTGTTTGACGTGTGCCAGACACCCATGACGGTCCCAGGCGGTGGGGCTGGGTAGCACGATAACCCGTCCTTTGTCAGAAGGGCTGCATGTGTTAACGCATTTGAAGAGCGCAGAGAACATTGGGGAGTTTCAGGGACTTGCCCCTCCTGTCCCTCTCTCCCCACATGTGATCAGCATTGAACGAGCTGTGTTAGACGCAGCATCTCGAGCGACACCCTTTTCCATGGCTCTTCTCAGCCACCACCATGTCTTTTCTGTTCTCAGTCACGTTGTGCTGTGTTTATTTGGTTGCTTCTCGTGTGAGGCTAGAAGGTAGCAGGTTAGGCCAGCATAGCTTGGTCCATGGTTTCCTTTGTCCCCGCCTCTGCCTCAAAGATGCATAAAGAGAAAGGAAGGAACTTTGGTCCACAGACCTGAGAATTAGTTAGATAACCGTGCCATAGACTGCTGCTTGCTTTCCCGCTATTCCTAAAAGCCAAAATCAGACCAGCAGAAAAACAACATGCAGCAAAAAACCTTTTAGAATGAAGTATTTTTATAAATCTGTGAGAATGACGAATGACTAGGCCAGGAGAATGATGAATAAATGCCTGACCCCTAGGTCCCTGATAGGTCAGTTGCCAGTAACGAGAGAACTTTCACATGCTTCTCCAGTTAATTTTTGCTCAAAGTGGCTTTTCTTCCTTGAATAAATGGAATTTTTTGATAGAAGCCTTGTGGGTCTTTCCATGACCAGTTTGGAGTGGAGCATCTGTCTTCATCTTTTTAAGTGATATTGTAAGAGTAGCCAGAGAGACTCAATCTGCAGTTTTCTTGAGTGATCTCGTCCCTTTGCATTTAGTGCTTGAGTTTTTTGTTTTTTGTTTTTGGTTTTTTGTTGTTGTTGTTAGTCATGGGAGCTCAGATTCCCTTTGGCTTTTGGGATTTTAAAATTTGGGGCAGGATCTTTGTAACATGTTTGTGGTGGGAGTGGGACTTTAGAAGTTAAAGAAGACTTAAAATTTGATTTTTTGGGCCTAACGCATGAATGAAGGAGATTTGCAGAACCGCTGTTCCTTTCTTTCCCCAACTAGTCCATGAATGCATGGAGACAGATCTTTTGAGGGGATGTCACTTAAACTTGCTTTTTTGCTACGGCAGTCTTTTCTTACGGTCTGTGATTTAAGGATTAGTGTTCATACTAATGTCTTATTAGAGGCAACATCTTTCTTTCCATTAGTTGTGGAACAAACAGGAATAGGTGGCTTCAGGGACCTTTGTCTGACAGCTTGCCCACAAACTACCCTCCCAGAACTGAGAATCATTAAAATGTTGAAGTTAACTTCTTTTAAAAGTAAGTTTTTACATTTTTATCTCTCTGTAATTTTCCATGGCAGGAACTTTCAGCCTGTGGTGTCATCCTAAATTTGAGGATCGCTGTCAATCAGTGGTGGAGTTCATTAAGAGAGCCATCATGCACTCCAAGAATGGGAAGTTTCTCTATTTCTTGAGATCCAGGGTTCCGGGTAAGGCTATAGATACATTAATTATTTAACTTGGTTATAATGCAATAGAGTATCAACATGTGCCCCCCTGCTCCCCAGAAAAAGCCATACTTCCTTGAAGTTTTTTTTTCTGGCTCTTATGGTAGCCACTCTTCCTAGAGTCCAGTGGTTAATCCCCTGCCCTTGGACATTAATCCTTCAGTATTTTGAGAAAGGAATCTTTGCTTTTTTTGACCACCTGAATGAAAAGACAGATCCTGCCTCTGATGTCCAAGTGTCTTATGATGAAGGGTTAACATTCAAAGGTGTCTCCTTGTCCTTGAACCAGGGATCTCACACTTCCATGTGAAGCAGAGAGGGGAGAACTTGCTCAGGCAATTTCTACAGGAACAGGGAGGGTAAAAGAGTATTCCCTAGGAAGGCAGCGGTGAATGTCAGCGAGGCTGAACTCAGTAGCAGCGTGCCATGGATTTTGTCCACTTGCGCTAAACATGCTATTAAAGAGTAGGTAGTTTTTGTCTTCTCTCCTGTCTCTACCAGCATTGACTGTAAAGACATCTCTCCATTCGGAAGCACTGGGAAGTTCCCATCCTTCCGAGTACGATTATGTAGTCTTTCTGCCCACTAAGTAGTGAGGAATCTAAATAATCTTTCCTGAAGGGATGGTTTGAAAGAGCCTGATGTTACAGGGTTGGGGAAAAGCAAAATGACAAGCATATTAATTGAGGAGTTTGTAAGATAGAAGCAGAACTTAAAATGAGAACTTTATACATTCCCAGTGAATCACATTAAGATTCTTAAACACTCTGAGTGCCAAGAAGTTGCTCTAAAAAGAAGTTCCCAGTGGAGCCTCAGGCAGAACATCAGTAACAGGATTGAGCCAGGTTATAGGAATGTGTTTTATAATCTTGGTGATTTAAATAAGGCATGACAGGGTGCGAACTGTATTAATTCTCACTTCATTTAATATTTGCCTCAGCGCTGTCAACACAGTTGGGTCTCATGTAGTTGACTTGTTTAAAGAGAAAAGTTAGAATCCTTTCTTACAGGAATTGACTCTTTTGCAATTTTTTAAAGTTTGTGGCTTTTGGGGGCTACGTCAAATGGGTAACAGGCACTTAGGAGGGTACTTTTCAAGATGAGCACTGGGTATCATATGTAAGAGGTGAATCACTGGGTTCTACTCCTGAAGGCAAGACTACACTGGATGTTAACTAATTTAAAAATAAATAGAAAGAAAGAAAGCAAAAAAAAAATCTAGTCAAATTTCATTAAAAAAAATTTGTGGCTTTTGGAGGTTATTTAACAGACATTGTATTCTGTAACTCATTATCAAAAATAAACAACATTGGGGCGCCTGGGTGGCTCAGTCGGTTGGGCGTCCGACTTCAGCTCAGGTCACAATCTCACGATTTGTGGGTTCAAGCCCCTCGTCAGGCTCTGTGCTGACAGCTCAGAGCCGGGAGCCTGTTTCAGATTCTGTGTCTCCCTCTCTCTCTGACCCTCCCCTGCTCACTCTGTCTCTCTCCTTCTCTCAGAAATAAATAAAACATTAAAAAAAAAAAAAAAAGAAACAACATCTTCACCCTCAGAGACCGCATGGCCTCAAAGGGAGACAGGAAGAGAAAGGCAGAAGCACAGGTAAAACTCCGCACAAGGCACGGCGGTGACTGACAAGGACAGAGAAGCAGCCGTGTTTATGGGTAAACCAGGGAATTCCTCTCACAGGATTTTGGAGTCTGGAGCGTGTATCTACTTGTTAGAGTACTGAGAGACTTTGTTGGACTCCTCCAGCATAGCTCATTTCCTTCTACAAATGTGCCATGTCTGCAGAAATTTTAAGATTCTTAACATCGTTAACTAAACGGCTAGAACTTGTAACCACTGCTATTTGTTGAATGCGTATCCTATTGTGTGCCAGTTACTTTGTCAGATTCTTTATTTAAACATCTCAGATTACTTACAGCAACCTAAAAAGTTAGCTGATAGATTGGTCCATTTGTACACAAGACCATTTTCATTCTGCTGGCGAAGAGACCGAGGCCGAAGCTCAAAAGCAAAGTTACTCTGAAAGTCATGTAGCTGATCCGTGCCAAAGTCAAGAGTTCAAACCCGGGCTCCACGAACTTCAAGCTTTGTGCTTTACTTGCTGCCGCTCTGTGAATGGGGAAAAGTAACGGCGAGCAGGCCGAAGCCTGGGCCTGCTGGGGTTGGTCGAAGCTGCAGGGAAGACAGAAGTGTGTGTGTTCGTGGAGGGGGTTTCTCGAGGACCCCTGCGGAATACTGCAGAAGGGGGAGATGTTTGCACCGAAAACTGTAACCAGGTTGAGAAGGCAAAACAGAGTTAGTATTTGCTCCTAGACTGTAAGTGACCTCTCTCAGAAGGACTGGGACAAAAGGCAAAGCCAGTGTCCTCCTTTACCATTGTTTGCTGCCCTGCTTTGCTGTCATAAGGTCTAGGATTTCTGTGAGATTGATTCTGTGAGGGACTCGGTGTGAAGAAGAAGGAGTCAGTAGCATTTGGGTTGAGCTTTCTCACCTGGCACCAGGTATTTTAACTCTGTAGTGTTTTTGTTTTTTTTTTAATGTTTATTCAATTTTGAGAGGCAGAGAGAGACAGAGCGTGAGCGGGGGAGGGGCAGAGAGAGAAAGAGACAGAATCTGAAGCAGGCTCCAGGCTCTGAGTCGTCAGCACAGAGCCTGCTGCGGGGCTTGAACTCACGGATGGTGAGATCATGACCTGAGCTGAAATTGGACGCTTAATCGACTGAGCCACCTGGGTGCCCCTTAACTCCATAGTTTTTAAAAGGGGCCTACTTGGGGCGCCTGGGTGGCTTAGTCGGTTAAGCATCCGACTTTCGCTTAGGTCATGATCTCGCGGTTCATGGGTTCGAGCCCCGCGTCGGGCTCTGTGCTGACTGCCAGCTCGGAGCCTGGAGCCTGTTTCAGTCTGTGGCTCCCTCTCTCCCTGACCCTCCCCTGCTCATGCTGTCTCTCTCTCTCTCTCTCTCTCTCTCTCCTAGAAATAAATAAAAATATTTAAAAAATAAATAAATAAAAGGGGCCTACTTGTTGAGACTTTGGGATGATGATAACTGAATGCTGCAAGGAGCCAGGTATTATTTCATTTAACCCTGACAAAATCCTTTATTTATTACAAATTTAATTTAAACATTTTTTTTAATGTTTATTTAATTTTTGAGAGAGAGAGAGAGAGAACATGAGCGGAGGAGGGGCAGAGAGAGGGGGGGAGACAGAATCCGAAGCAGGCTCCTGTGCTGACAGCTCAGAGCCTGACACAGGGCTTGAACTCAAGAGCAGTGAGATCATGACCTGAGCTGAAGTCAGACACTCAAGTGACTGAGCCACCCAGGCACCCCAACCCTTACAAAATCCTTTAAAGGGATACTACAGTATCCCTTCTCCCTTACCTCCCTTTTCCTTCCTTCCTTCCTTCCTTCCTTCCTTCCTTCCTTCCTTCCTTCCTTCCTTCCTTCCGTACAGTGAATTGCAGAGCCAGGATTCAAAGTCAAGTTTTTCCAGCTCAGTACTAGAGCAGGCTGCACTAATAGGGCATGCAGACAGGTAATAAAGGGATGCTAGGGGTCATAAGAATCATAAAGCTAGGACTAATGGGAAAGGTCTGGATGATGGCAAGTAAGGAGCAGAAGGAAGGAAATTGATTAGAACAAATGTAATAATTGACATCAGGGGAGGGACCCTTAGTAAAAATAAAAATGATGGCGTCTGATGTTGCCTTCCCCTTATCTTTTAGCAGTGGAGCATGGTTGCCACATATCTGAGGTCACTGTTTGCATTTCAGTCCGGTCCATTCCACAGTTATAAACCAAATGCCTAATACCACCAGGCAGCAGTCTCAGAGAGAGAATGTGATTGGATTAACACAGAACTCCTGATGCTGTTAGAGCCAAACTTAAAGTGAACATATCTTATTTGGGAGAATCTTCGTCATCTGTGAAGTACATGAAAAGAAAATACTTTTTTCTTTTTTTTTTTTGAGATTTTATTTTACATGTTTATTTATTTTTGAGAGAAAGTCAACATGAGCAGGGAGGGATAGAGAGAGGGAGACAGAATCCCAAGCAGGCTCCATGCTACCAACACAGAGCCCAGCTCAGGGCTTGAACTCATGAACAATGAGATCACAACCTGAGCCAAAATCAAGAGCTGGATGTTTAACTGAGGCATGCAGGTGCCCCTTATTTTATTTTTAAATGTTTATTTTGAGAGAGAGCACACATGAGCAAGTGAGTGGAAGTGAGACAGAGAGGGAGAGAGAGAAGCCCAAATAGGCTCCATGCTGTCAGCACAGAGCCCAACATGGGGCTCGATCTCCCAACTTTGAGATCATGACCTGAGACAAAATCAGGAGTTAGATGCTTAACCAACTGAGCCAGCCAGGCACCCCATTAAGATTTTATTTTTAAGTAATCTCTATACCCAGTGTAGGGCTTGAACTTACAGCTCTGAGATCAAGAGTCACATACTACCGACTGAGCCAGCCAGGCACCCCAGTACCTTTTGTTTGTTTGTTTTTAATTTTTTTAAGTTTATTTATTTTGAGAAAGAAACTGTGTGAGTGGGGGAGTGATAGAGAGAGAGGCAGAGAGAGAATCCCAAGCAGGCTCCACACTGTCAGCATAGAGCCCAGTTGCGGGGCTTGAACATACAAACTGTGAGATAATGACCTGGGCTGAAATCAAGCATCAGATGCCTAACCGACTGAGCCACCCAGGTACTGCTACCTTTCATTTTTTTTAATCGAACTTTGAATTATACAACTCGAAGGCAATTGGTCTCTCTTCTGTAACCATCATTAATCTTATATTTATTTGTTCAGTGACAGGTCTGTATCCCATGGTTTCTTTTTCCTTTTTTTAAAAAATGTTTATTTTTGAGAGAGTGAGGGAGTGAGCACATCCATGCAGGGGAGGCAGAGAGAGAGAGAGACAGAGAGGCAGAGACAGGTCCCAAAGCGGGGATCCCGGTGTGGGGCTCGAAGTCATGAACCGCAAAATCATGACCTGAGCCGAAGTTGGCCGCTTAACTGACTGAGCCACCCAGGTGCCCGTCTCAGGGTTTCTTAAGTCAGTACTGTTGACATTTTCAGCTGGATAATTCTGGTCTTCAGGGAACAGTTTGGTTTGGCAGAAAGACCTATGTGTTGGGGTGCTCAGACTTGGAAGAGATTTGTCACTCCATCCTGGTCCTTGTGGCAGGGGGAGAGGGGGAGAGAAAATAATGAAGTGGTTGGAAACTGGATTGGTGCCCAGGACCCCTGGTATGAGGGACCAGAAGTCCCTTGATGATCACTGTTCCATCTTGCCCTTTCCCTTTCACCTGAACTGCTGGCTTGTCTTGGATTTATTTCCATTTCTAACCTCTTCCCTTAACAGGCTCTGGATGCGAGAGCTCCAGTTGTTTGCTGTGTTTAGGGGCAAACAGTAAATGGTCACCTTGACACCAGGGATATCAGAGAATGAACAGGTCTCAAATTGCTATTTGTGAACCTAAGGCTAAAAGTAACAAATAGGCAAGTGTCGGTGGCCATTCAAGTAGGCAAACAATCATAATTTTTCGCTGCTTATTATCCTGGTTGCTTTAAGCACTAGTCTGGTAGTACTGTGTCTTTGGGAATAAATAATTAGATACATAATTTACCTTTATCTCTGAAACATCATGTTGAATTTAGCATTATTACAACCCACCCCTAAAAGCTTTCTGTTTGCCATAGTTTAATTCACTAAAGAATATTTTTATTTTTTATTTTTTATTTAAAAAATTTTTTTTTTAATGTTTTATTTATTTCTAGGAGAGAGAGAGACAGCGTGAGCAGGGGAGGGTCAGAGAGAGAGAGGGAGTGACAGACTGAAACAGGCTCCAGGCTCTGAGCTGGCAGTCAGCACAGAGCCCGACGCGGGGCTCGAACCCACAAACCGCGAGATCATGACCTAAGCGAAAGTCGGACGCTTAACCGACTAAGCCACCCAGGCGCCCCAAGAATATTTTTAAAATGTAAGAGAAGGTAAATTCAAAGAGGCCTTTGAACCCAATACCATTTTAAAACCACTTGAGTTTAAATATATTCAAGAGAGAATTCCATGTGATTTTTTTTTAATAGTGTGTATGAGAAGAAGACAACCATGTGGGTGGGGGAGGCCTACAGTGCTTCAGAAAATGAGCCCAGGAAGGCAGGGGTAGGGGCAGGGGGAAGACTGACAGGGGCTGGTCACCAATCAAAGTGCTGGGGCCGCCCTGGACAGCGCCCCCATCAGACAGCAGAGGGCCAGTTGCTCTGGGGAGACTCCTGGAGAACCTTCCTTTGAGGTTCTGTGGGTTCACCACTTTCTCAGACACAGCAGATGTTTGTGACAAGCTCTCTTTGTTGGTTCTGTGCCATGAGTAAGTTCTCTAAGTCCAACAGGCCTCAGTTTCATCATAGGTGAAATGGGGGTAATAGTGATATCTGCCTCAAAGTATAGTTTTAATGACTAAGTGAGTTAGGTTTTTTTTAATGTTTATTTTTGACAGCGTGTGCCAGAGGGGGAGGGGCAGAGAGACAGGGGGACAGACAGCCCCAAGCTGGCTCTGTGCTGACAGTGGAGCCTGATGTGGGGCTGGGACCCCCTGAGCTGAAGTTGGGTGCCTAACTGACTGAGCCACGCAGGCACCCAAGTTAAATATTAAAAAAATTTTTGTTTTAATGTTTGTTGATTTTAAGAGAGAGAACAAGTGGGGTAGGGGCACAGAGGGAAGGAGGCAGAGAATCCCAAGCAGGCCGTGAGCCCAATCAGCACAGAGCCCAATGACGTGGCACTCAAAGTTGCAAACCATGAGATCATGACCTGAACGAAAGTCAGGAGTCCAACACTTAACTGACTGAGCTACCCAGGCACCCCGAGTTAAGTGCTTTTTTTTTTTAATTAAATATTTTTAGTTATTTATTTGTTTATTATTTTGAGAGAGCCTGAGCAGGGGAAGGGCAGAGAGAGGGAGTGAGAGAATCCCAAGGAGGCTCCGCACCGTGAGATCAGGACCTGAGCCGAAGTTGGACGCTTAACTGACTGAGCCACCCAGGTGCCCCTAAATGTTTTTAAGATAAGTTTATTTGTTTAGTAACAGTATAATATGTATTAAAAAATGTATAATGTTTAGTTTTTGTTTTTTAAACACTTGTTCATTTTTGAGAGACAGTGTATAATCGGGGGAGGCGCAGAGAGAGAGGTAGAAACAGAGTCTGAAGCAGGCTCCAGGCTCTGAGCTGTCAGCACAGAACCTGATACAGAGCTCAAACTCACTGACTGTGAGATCATGACCTGAGCTGAAGTCAGACGCTTAACTGACTGAGCCACCCAGGCGCCCCTGTTTAGTTGAGAGAGAGAGAGAAGGAGGGGGGCAGGGCAGAAAAAGAGGGAGGGAGAGAATCCCAAACAGGCTCCGCTCTGTCAGCACAAAACCGGACATTGGGCTCAAGCTCATGAACCATGATATCAGGACCTGAGCCCTCAACCGATGAGCCACCCAGGTGCCCCATGTAGGAACAGTATAATATGTATTCTGACTTTTTTCTTTTTTAGAAAGTCCATTATCAATGACCGTGAAAAGGCTTTGGGAGATAGTCCACAAGCTTTAATTTTTTCTTCTCATGAATTCAAACAAAATTTAAAAACGGTTTGAAATTAAACTCCAAAAACAGTAGACATGTTATTTTCCAGCAAGTTGTGTCTACAGAATTTCTTTTGATGGGACGGTGACTGAGAAAAGAATTCTTTCAAAGATTTTGAAGCTGAGCTTTCTGAGAGCAATTTACTTATTTACCTTCCGCGGCCCCTTTGTGTATTGAAACCAGAGTATTCTTTACTCCCTTGAACCAGTGTCAGTGTCCCTGCCATTCTGGAGGGGTGCTGGCATCCCCCTGTACTAAGCCTACTGATGCTCATGAAACCAGGGTGTGGGACCCCCCCCTTGGTCCCAGCTGGCATCAGTCAGCAGGCACTCTGGCACTGAGGAGTACCAGCTCCAGCTTGCCCAAGCTACTGTAGTTGCTTTTCTTTTAAAGGCATCATCTTTTTTTTTTTTTTTAATTTTTTTTATGTCTTTATTTTATTTTGAGAGACAGAGACCTAGAGTGAGTGGGGGAGGGGCAGAGAGAGAAGGAGACACAGAATCTGAAGCAGGCTCCAGGCTCTGAGCTGGCTGTCAGCACAGAGCCCGAGGTGGGGCTCGAACCCACGAACCACAAGATCGTGACCTGAGCTGAAGTCGGACGCTTAACCGACTGAGCCACCCAGGCGCCCCAGGCATCATCTTTTTTTTTTTTTTCCTGTTCCTGGACCCAGGCTAAAATTTCAGGAGCAGGAAGGGTAGAGGGAGGTGGGGGTAGGGTGGGGAGGTGGGGGTTGTGTGGGAAATAAGAGGTGGTTCAACCTGCTTGTCCTGACTTGAAGTCAGTGACAGGAGTGAGAGGCTTATAAACTTTGATCCCAGCCGTTGCCTTTCGCTTACGCTTACCAGCCTCTTAGCTGGAATTGGCTGGGGGCCCCTCTGAGCAGCCAGAGTCATCCCCTTCAGGATGCTGCTGGCTGTGCTGCACAGGGGTCTCCCGTTGCTCTCAGGGATGCTTTGGTCCTTGCCCTTCACTGAGAGCCGCAGGCCTGGGATTGGCCACCTGGCTCCAAGTCGGGTCTCTGGCTTGGCACTTTTCACCGGACTATTCTGAAGAGCGGGACTATCAGCTGTTAAGAGTAATGCTTGGGGGGCCCTTGGTGGAGACGAATAGAGTCCCTTGAGTGAAACACAGTGGGAATACTTCTGACAATGGAAATAGGTTCTTTGTGGAAGGGAGCTTTTGCACAGAACACACATGTGAACTGTAAAGCAGCCCCGCTTCCCTTCCCTGGATTCTCTTCCCGAGGCGGTTATAGTTAGCGGCGGTGTTCCCTCTGAACGGGCCTCTTGGTTTTTGTTCCTGAAGGTCTGCCGCCAACGCCAGTCCAGCTGCTGTATCCGGTGTCTCGATTCAGCAATGTCAAATCCCTCCAGCACCTTTGCAGATTCCGAATCCGACAGCTCGTCCGGATAGATCACATCCCGGATCTCCCACTGCCTAAGTACAGAGGGGTCTCCGGGGGCGGGGCGGGGACAGAGGGTTGGTTGTAACTGTTAGGGAGGCCTCCGGTTGATCACGCCGCCGGTGTTCACAGGCATCGCCCTTTCACTTCTCACGTGTCTTAGCACCCGGCTCTGCAAATGTCACCCGGCAGCCAGAAGGGAGGAAGGTGTGTGCTTGTGGGTCAGCCTCCCTTCTGCAGGCGCTACGAAGAGTAGAGTGGAGGTGGTAAGAGGGAGGGAGACAGAACTATCATAAGTGAGAAAGTGGGAATTTTCTTAGGTCGACAGAGTTTTTTGTGTAGTCTCAGCCGTGTAGGGCTTGAAGAAGAAGGAAGAATTGAACAAAGGTGGTCTTTTGTTTATGATCTTTGTGAATAACCCCTTATTTGTATCCCTCTTGTGTTCACAGACCTCTGATCTCTTATATCCGAAAGTTCTACTACTATGATCCTCAGGAAGAGGTGTACCTGTCTCTAAAGGAAGCGCAGCTCATTTCCAAACAGAGGCAAGAGGTCGAACCCTCCACGTAGCAAGGGCCCCCCTGCTGGGCGCCACCAAGGGTATGAGCTCTCTGTCTCAGTGTCCTGGGGGCCTTGCCCCTTCCACCACTCCCCATGTGTATACTGCCGATTCAGACATCTGCCCACAGAGTCACCGGATCTGATGATGGAGTCCCCACGGGGGCACATATGCCAAATGGGAGAAGAACAGATAGACGCGAGAGGCTTAAAGAGTATTTGACAAGCAACATGCACACTAATCACTGAATATAAATCAGGAGGAGGGCACACAAGTGTAGCTAAGTGTGCGGCCTTCTCTCATACTTTGACCATTCTCTCTGCTGTTGCACAAATGACATGAAAGACAGGAAGCTGGAGGGGAGGAAAGCTTCATCGAAGGGAAGGCAAACAAGACTTTAATTGCAGCAGGCTTACCCTTCCGCGAGAACTCCCATGTCTCGTGACTTGGAATGTGAGGGCAAGGGAAAAAAGCTCACTCTTCTACTTAGATTTCCATCAGGACCTGAAAAGTAAATTATTGAAAAGAATAAGTGAATTAGCCAAGGAATTCATTTCTCTAAGTGGCTATTCTCCTTTCCCTACATTAACTGATTTCTATTCATTTATTTTCCCCGTAAAATATCTTGGAATACTGGTTTGTGCAGATGAATGCTAATTAGTCTTTTAAATTACATTCACATGAGCATTGAAAGGTAGCGATGAGTAGAGAACAAAATTGCCAAAGAGATGTGATTGGGGTGGTGTGGATTACATGCAAGATATCACATTCCAGTGGTCTGGGTCCAGTAACCCCCATTTGCCCCTTTGTGTAGAGTGTCCTCTTGAAGCACCAAGCTTCTCTGTTCCCCAGTGCCATCTCCCACACACAGCAGACTAGGGGAGAAACCTTCAGAGTGACAGCCTTCGAGCCAGGGGAGCCTTTATCTTCCCATGCTCTCTGCTCTCTCTCTCTCTTTTTTTTTTTTAAATTTATTCCTGAGAGAGACAGCATGAACGGGAGAGTCAGAGAGAGAGGGAGATACAGAATCTGAAACAGGCTCCAGGCTCTGAGCTAGCTGTCAGCACAGAGCCCGACGTAGGGCTCGAACCCACGAACCGTGAGGTCATGACCTGAGCCGAAGTCGGACGCTTAGCCGACTGAACCACCCAGGCGCCCCTCTCTGCTCCCTTTATAACTGGAGAGTGTGACAACTGGCGGGTTTTCCTGGGCCATGGCCAAGGTGAACCCAGCTGTGTGTCTCCTCTTACCTCTGGGCATCCCTGAGCCTGTGCCGTTGGAAAGCATGTGGGCTGGGCTAGTCAAGATTAACAAGGGGAGAAGGAATGAAAGAAGAAAGATCAAGAAATGGTTACTCTGGGAGGCTGCACAGCTTGAACTGAAAGCGTCCTGGCCTGGGTGTACAGCCTCTTGTCATGTCTTCAATTGTACGAAGTTGTATGCTCTTGGAGGCGACTCCTACAACATCAAAATGCTCTGATGTCTGGGGGCGTTTCTCTGCTTGGTGGCTTTGTAAGCGAGATTAGGAAGGGAAGGCAGGAGGGAACCAGGGAGGCCCGCCTGCACAGCGGCACCCTGGTGGGGTCATTAGGACCCTTTAGTCAGGGCACCACCTCTGTAGGTGCTGTGCCTCGGGAGGAACCCTCACAGCACATTTCAGAGGTGGGCTCAGGATGGTGGAGGGCTCCAGACTTCATCATATGGGGGAATACGTGGTTGACATGAAGCAGAGAAGCTTCGAGCTGAGAAGGGCTTGCTGGCTGAAAGAAATACGAAGGAAGAGTGGTTGAGCTTAGTCTCTGTGGCTCCAGGGACAGGACAGGGGCCACAGTGGATGTAAGTTACAAGGAGTTAAACTCCAGTCCAACTTTAGAAGAACCGTTTGTTGGGTTTTTTAAATTTAATTTTTATGTTTGTTTATTCTTGAGAGAGAGACAGAGTGCAAGCGGGGGAGCGACAGAGAGAGAGGGAGACAGAATCTGAAGCAGTCTCCCCGCTCCAAGCTGTCAGCACAGACCCCGATGTGGGGTTCGAACTCACAAACCGTGAGATCATGACCTGAGCCGAAGTCAGATGCTTAACTGACTGAGCCACCCAGGCGCCCCTAGAAGAACCGTTTTAACAGAGAGGTCCGAAGGTGGAATGGTATTCCAGAGGTGTTAGTGATCCCCCCCCATTTGTTTATGCATTTAGCAGCTCTCTGTCTACTTGTTAAGTACCCAGGGTAGGTTGAGAAGAGAGTGCTGGGCGAGATAGTCCATGGCCCTGACCTCACTGAGCTGCAGTTCTCATAGGGAAAGACAGACAGCAAGCATGTAAATAAGTGAATAGGCTGCTTTCAGTCGACTGTACATGTTACGAGGAGTAAAACTTGGTGGAGTTTGGTGATTAGTGGTGGAAGAATGGCACTTAGGTTTGGATGATCGGGAAAGGCCCCTGGGAGGAGGTATGCTTTTCAGCTGAGATCTGAATATCAGGGAGTCAGAAGAGGATCTGGGAGCAGAGCATTCTGAGCAAGGGGTCCAATAAGCATAAAGGCCCTGAGATGGGAAGGGGCTTGATCTGATACGGCGCAGGCCAGAGGTAGCCATTTGTTGTGAGTATGGGGGGGAGGGGGCAGTCATGCATTGGCAAAGGATTGACCTGAGCCCCCAGGGTCCTTGTGCTGGGTGTGACACGAGGACTGTTGCCCGTGGCAGAGAGTTAGCGTCGTGCCGTACCCCCTCCGGATTTAGACCTTAGGGCCCCTTGGAAAAAGGGAAGTACCACTGCTCCTGAAGGGAGACAGCTCTGTTTTCTGAAATTTGGCCCTGTGACTACTTGTGGGTCAGGCTGATTTTAATTCGGGAGTTCTGCATGGGCCACTTGGTCTGTGCTTGCTGGGGAGTTTCACGTCGGCGTGCTCGGAGTCAGACAGGAGCAGCTGGAACGGTGCTCTCCTTAGGTCAGACGGCAGGAGCCGCGTGGACATTTGTGATGATACGTCAGTCCTCCTTAGTAGCCAGCAGCGGCTGCGACCCCTGGCTTTTTCCTAGCCGGGCTCACCAGGGGTTCCTCCAGGGGCTCAGTTTTTTCTTTTGTTTACTTTCTAGTCCCTGGAGCTGATAAGCCTCAGGAAAGGAGTGGGGGAAATGTGGGTGGAAAATTAAAAGGTAAGGGAAAAGGAGAGGGAGAAGTTAGGCAATGTGATAGAATCTGTTTATTAGTTATTTTAGGACCTTTTTTGAGCATCCAAGTCGTAGGCCGCTCAGGTGTCCCCAGCAAAGGCCGTTGCGGCTTCCTGAGCTGGCAGCCGTGCTGGTGGGAGCCATTGGTTGTCCAGGCCTCCCCTGAGCTGTACTTCTCCCCTCCCGTGGCTGGGCTGCTCTCCATCTTGGTTCCACTCCAGTGGGCTGCTCTGAGTTTTTCCTTTTTTCACCTAGGCATTTGGTTGCCAAGCTCCAGTTTTGAAGAACCAAATGAAGCTGCCATGGAGGGGAGTGAGGAAGGAGGAGGGAACTGGAAGGGCAGAGCTCCTCTGCGCAGACACTGGCTCCCCTCGCCGCCCTGGGGCTTGGAAGAAGCACACAGCCCTGCTCCTCGAGCGGGGCCCCCCTTCATGTCCAGCCCCTGCGCTATCCTGGAACTGGACGCACTCCTTGGAAAACTGGAAGAAGTCTCAACACTGTTCCTTTTTTTAGAAGTTTTGTTTCGGATATTTGCGTTTCTCGGTATGGAAAACTTCCTTTAAAGGCAGCTGGGGTTTGTGCCCATCGGACTGGAAGTGGCACCAAGGGTGAGACGGGTCCAGGGGACGGGAGAGGAGGAGGGATTGCCGGGGACGGTCACTCAGCTGGTGCCAAAGGCAGAGTGCGATGCTCACCATCGACCTTGAAGAAGGAGAGAGGAGGAGTCAGAGTGTAGATCAAGCTGGGAGTTTCTGAGGGATGAGAATCTGCTTCCCCTGAAGCATGGGTAGCCTCGGCAGGAGCAGGAAAGAAAGGAGGGTGGGCGGTCTCGAATAGAAGACGACCCAACAAAACCCGGCAAAGGGCCTCTGCAGGGGGAAGTAGGGACTCCTCACATCCTTTCCTTTTAAGGTTTAGGAACCTGATTTCAGAATCACCTCTCATAGAAGCTGTGCTCATTTTGTCTTACTGAATTGCTGAGTTCTGTGACCTCAAGCCAGTCCCATTCTTCCTCCACCCGCCACCCTCCACCCCTCCCCTGGAGATGACTGTACTTTTCACCCGGATCGTGGTAAAGTCGTTCCTGTTGCCTGTGCCAGCTGTCAAGGCAACAGATTTTCTCATCACCTGAGCCATTGAGAGCTCTAGTCATGAGCTGCTCAAGTTAATGGAGCGTACTTCCAGATTCTCAATGGCAAGCTGTACCCATGACGTAGGAGTCAGTGGTACTTCCCTCTGTATGTCTGTCAGCTAGTGAGAGAGGGAACAGGGAGGATGGTGAGAAGTGAAGCTTTGTACTTGTGCTCTTTCGAGAAGAAGCTCTCCAGTGTTTCAGCCTTAACTGGACGTTTTTGAATCAGAGAGGAGAGCATTACATCTCATGGATTTAGGTTTATCACTGTTGTCCCACTTCTGGGATGGGAGGTAGTAAGAGCTTTTTTATTTGCCTGTGTCTTTTCTAGCAACCCAAGCATTTTCGTGAGTCAGATCCTGTTTGCCACCGCCCCCGCTCCCCTCCCCCCGCCTCCCCTTCATTGGGAAGTGTGACAGATGCTGATTTGGGAGTTGCCCACTTTCCAGGTGGAAGTGGAGGAGGAGGAGGAGGGAGAAGAACTCCAGTGCTTTCCAGTGGTCTTTGGTTTTTTCCCCCGAAGCAGGCCATTGTCAAATCATAACGATATTATGAGTTTGCTTTTCTATAGAGTTACTCTGGGGAGACGTTTGCTATTAAGATGAGAAAATTGAGCTGTTTTGGTCTTTAGCGCTCTTTATAGTAATATTCCATTAGACTGCCTTTTTTGGTTTCCCTGTGCTTATATCTGCCTCATCTCATGATAATGTTGTTGGGTTTGTGGTTTCCTGATGGTTTGGGGGTGAGGCCCCGGTGTCTTGGTAATTTATAGGACTGTCTCATCTAGAAGTGTTGGCCTTCTGCCTTACGTCTTGCATGGAATGGCCAGTCTTCCTCCTTGTAGTGGAAAAGGGAGGGATACTTGCGTTGTTCCCTGTGGGTAAGGGGGTGGCCCACGAAGTGAGCTTGTAGTATAGACACAGCCCAGCTTTGTTTTGTCATGAGGTCCCTCTTCTCTTCTTGGAGTCCGTAGTAGGATTACCCACCAGTTAAGATCGTGATCCCAGAAATTGGCTCATCTTTGAGTCTTGCCTCTTTGCGGGTGCAGATTAGCTCGCCATCTTGCAGAAAGTACCACCCAACAGTAGAGCTTATATCTGGAATCCGTTGGGATCCTTGAGTGGCTGATGTGCATCTCTTTGGGATTTTTTTTTTAATATGTATACCATTTCATCCACCCATCATTTAAATTTTTTTTTTTTTTTTTAGTGTGTCTTAGTGTGTTTGCCTGGCTCTGGGCTAGATAGTGTGGAAAACACAAGAGGGGAAAGATGTGATGTGTGGCCTAAGGGAGCTTTTAAGTGACTGCCGTCCACGAAGCTATTGGAGAATGACTCGGTGGGGCAGAAGAATCAAGTGCTATCTTGAAAGAAATTCAAATGGGTGCGATCAGGGTAGACCAGGTGGTCTGGGAGAGCTCTGTGGTAGCCAGGCGCTGGGTCCTGGGCGAGGGGAGGACGGTGAGGCAGGAAACACATGAATGGAAGCATGGACGTGGGAATCTGCTGGGTGTGTGCCGAGCGGTGGGCAGTCCCAGGCCAGCGCGGCCGCAACGATCTCTCCTTTCTCGGTTTACACGGAAACTTCCGAGCATCAGGCAGATCTGAGTCCTGAGGGCTTGTGATGGGGAAGCAGAACCCAAAGCTGGAAGTCAGCTCTTTCCTGCCCACGGCCAGCGGCCTCACCGCCCTCTGTGCAGTCTGGGTGCTCCCCCTTGTGGTGCCAGGGGTTTCCACGGGAGGATTCAGAGTGTCAGGTCTAGAACCATACCAGCTGAGGAGGCATGACCCAGCCTCACCACCATCCTTCCTTCTCCTGTGAAAGGGTAGTGTGTACCTGTGTCCATGACATGTTCCTGCGCCAGTCACCGCCCAGGCTGTAGCCGCTTCCTCCTCAGCAGAGGAGACGAACTCCATCAGGAGACGAGGGGGAGGAAGAGGCGGGAGTGGGGCGGCCGGCTGAGGGACTGGCCTGGTCAGAGAGCAGAGAGGGAGCAGGAGCGGCTGGCCTGTTACCAGCACGTCCCCTCGTCGCTCCAGGCTGGGCGCACTCGTCCTTTGCAAGCTCTGTGTTGTGCTCCTTGGAAGGCAGTCCACAGACGGAACTCCTTCCTTTCTGATGGTTATATCTTAAAGTCACAAACTGGAAAAGGTTCTCACCTCTAGGGACCCACCATTGATTTCTAAGTTGTGGATGGGTCCTTGATCATGTGACCCTTACTTGTTAGTGGTTGACCTACTGTCACCTTCCTCAGGACAGGTATGAACCGCCGTGAGCTAGTGACAACTACTGCTACAATCTGCTGTTACTTGAAATTCGCATGCTGTGGCAGGAACACAGAGTGAGGAGGGTGGGCTTTGCCGGGAGGACTAGGTAAGTGGGTGACAGCTGGGAGTCTGGGACCATTGGCGGTGGCCCCCGCCTGTCAGCCAGGCCAGCCGGTGCCTAGATCTAGTGAATGCGAGCTGCTGATGGCAGCGCGCAGGCTCCAGAGAGGAGAGGCTCGGCGGGGAGCTCAGCACCTTGGTTTCCGCTCCTCCTGTCCTTCCTTTCCCTGGGGCTGATGGTGTCGGCTCTCACCAAGGTAGGGAGTGACGTGGGGACCGCTGCAAACACACGGTGCACATCCCGGGACGGTGCTTGGATGTGAGAGCCTGGAGGCGAGCTGGCTGCCCTGGGGTGCCCGCCTTTTCAGCCCCAGGCTGCTCCAAGCCCTTGGGTCCCAGCAGGAAATGGGGGTGGAGGGGCTTTTCCCTCAGGTTAGACCCTTCTGCTGCTGCCTCCTCCTTGGCCTCGAGCCCTGAGGTTGGAGGACCAGGTGCCAGGGCGGCAGGTAGGAGGTCTGAGAGTCTGTGTGTGTGTGTGTGTCTGTCTGTCTGTGTCCACGCGCACACTTGTGTCCGTGCGTGTGTCTTCATTTGCCGAGGTCTTGCCACCAGTTGGGGTGTTGAGAGCACCTCCATTGTGGGGAGACCTGCCATTTGTTTATCACGTTTAAGAGAATGACACGCCCCCTGTCCCTAAGGGAGGAGCTTTTGAGTTAGACATTTTCCCTATGGGAATCCTCTTGGTTTGGTTTGTGGGAAAGGGGGAATGGATAAATGATTTTTTATCTCTGATTGTCAACACAGCTGTTCTTACACTGAATCTGTGCTATTGCATACATGTAGCCATCTTTCTTTTCACTGCAGCAGTGTTTATCAGTAGTTCAAAATGATTTATTTGCTCCTGGGGAGTAAAATCTTTTTTATTAAAAAAGAAAAAAAAGAAAAAAAAAAAAAAGAAAGAAAGCAAAGCGTGGCTCCCTCCCCCCGTGATAGCTGTAGGATTAGTGGGCCTCAAAGAAAGCTCAAGAAGGCAAAGCCGAGTCTGCCTGTCCCCATTGACCTATCCTGTTTTGCCATCAGAGCCTTCGTGCTCTGCACAAAAGGACGGGGGCCTTGAGAAGCTGGAGAGCGAGCATCAGGAGGAGTGAGTGGGGTGTGGACCGTAGAGACGGAGGCACTGCGGACTCAGGTGCTGCAGTTAGAAACACCGAGTAAGGAATTGTATTTAAACTATCGTCTAATCTGCCAGGGAAAGACCTTTCTTTACATACAGATTCCATACTGTCTTTGTCCTTTCCATCGCTTCTTGCCCTTCCTGGGAGGTGCTGGCCCAGTTGCTCCCCGCTTCCCGTGCCGTCCCCTGTACCCCTTCTCCCCTCCCTTCCCCTCCCGTCTACCTCTGGGAAGCCAGCCCTGCACGCGGAGTCTGTGACTTGCCTTCATGCTCATTTCATCTCATCTTGGTTAGAGGGTACCTGGAGCCGCCCTCCCCGCTCCCTCCCCAGCGCCAGGAGGCATGAAGGGGCAGGTGAAAAGCAGCCCGGCCGTGGCGGGAAGACGCGGAATGTCTGGTTGCAGCTGGACTGCAGCCGGGGCTCCTGGGGAGAGAGTGTGGGGAGAACTTAGGACACTCTTGCCCTGAAGCCGGGATGCTCACTCACTGCCCGCCCAGCCCGGGTGGGGCAGGAAGGCCGGTCTGGGTAACTCCATCCCTGGTGCTCCCTTGAACAGGGACCTGCCCCTCGCCGTTCGGCCCAGAGCCTCTCCCGAGGGACAAACATGATCCAGGCACCGCGCTGTGGGCAGGCCGGTCGTCGGAGCGCCCGCGCTGGTGCTGCCTGTGGCACAGCCACCGCTGTACAGTTTTTGGTTGTTTTTAAGAAACTCCATGAAGAGGGGTGTCATTCTGGGCACAGGGTGGTTGCCAGTTTTCCTAGAAGGGGAGCCGCATCCCTGCAACCACCCTGTCCTGTTTGCCACCCCTGCCCTCCTCCAAGCCAAAGCGTGGCCTGGCTTTTGTCTTCCCCCTTTAGTTGTCCTCCTCTCCTCCCCCTTTTTGTGCTTAATTTATTAAAATAGTTGCTGTATAATTTATTTTCATAAGCGATAAAAAATTACTAAATGGTTAAAACAGACTTGCAGGCCAATCTTAAATGGGCGGGAGGGTCTGCGGGTGGGGTGGGAAAAGGGAAAGATGTTTTGATATAAACAAATGCACTTTGGGTGTGTTTTGGTATTTTTCTGGGGATAGACGGGTGGGTGTTGGGATGTCCCTGTAGATTAGTTCCAGAACGGGGTGTCTGTATATACTGTATTAATAGGCATGTTTGACTCTTATAAAGGGATGTTAGTAGCTGCTGCAGGTCCTGTTTGGAAACCCCATGTACAACTCCCAGTTTTTGTAAGTGTCAGTGCGGGAGACATTTGACTCTTGTGTTTGTATCTCCTTTTTATGATTGCTGTACTGACCCATGTCCTTTTGGGGAGGGGTGAAAAGAGATTTGAAATAAAAATGTTTAGAAATTACTTCGTGTGATTTGGGTTCGCGTCTGTCGATCTTTCTGCTGTCTCCGGTGCCTCCTTACACCACCCCCAGCCCCGTAGGCTCACATGACCCACCGCTGGCGATGGGGGCCCTCCATGGTACCAGCCGAGCCGCACGGATCCCAAACTGGTCTTGTCAGAACTAGCGATGTTGGAAATTTCCCCAGACCGATGGCCATCGCTCAATGCTGCTTTTTCCTTCCCTAGCACGTGCAGGAGAATTCCAGAGCGTTTTCTGGGGCCAAGTGCCCGTGGCCTTTTGGTTGCTGAGCAGTGGTGCAGGGCTGTTGCTAGGGAGAGTTCATGTTTCCCCTGGCGGTCAGTCCCAGTGTCTTTCTCCAGGCTGGCAGTCAAGGTTTCTCGAGAGTTTAACCTGCATCCCTCGTGCTTTTCCAGCCCCATCTCTCTTGAGCTGCGCTCTTTGGAGAGAAAAGGAACAGAATGTTTCTCTGATGGACACACGCGTACTTGGAGCCATTGGAAACTCCCATTTTCACTTTCCCTCCTAATCCCTCTCTAAGTGCCCCACTCAGGGCCACTGTGCCACCTTGGCACATCGAGGGGAAGTTTCTGCGATTTCTCTGCATCTTGAGAGCAGGAAGCCTGTGAGTTGAAGCCCAGTTCGGAGTTGTGTTTTCATAGGACTGGTTAGAAGTGCCTCATGGGGGAGTCTGGGAACCCCCACTTGCCCCAGTCACGGGTCGTGTTAGGAGGAAACGGTGTCTCAATTCTGACAGCCGTTCTATGATAGCATGAATTCCCCATTAAAGTTTTCTGCCCTTTTGGAAGGAAAGGTGCTCCAAGCAACGAAATGTGAACAACGCTACAAGGGAGAATGCTTAGCTCAGAACCAGCAATTCAAACGCTCTACTGGCTGCTGTTTGGACACAGTTGTCCATCACAAGGAGTCTTTGGTGACCCCGTCAGTAAAGAGAGTTAGGGTGCATTTCTTAAAGTAGAGGCGTAGGTTTTCATCACTTCCAACCAACATCCTTCATGCTAGTAATGACTTATTTGTTAGGAGAGATAGAGCCTCCGAATTGGGCGATGCCCAGAGAAGGAAAGGCATTCTTCTGGTAATAGTAATCCCCAAATAAAAAATGACCCCCTACCATCCTCTTTACCCCAAAAGGGGTCCCTAAAGCTGTTCCATCTCACCTGTTAGTGGTGCCCCCTCGTGCACCTGCCTGACTAGAATCCAATTACAAGTACGTGGCAAGTGGTGACCGTGCAAGAATTTCCCTTCTCCTCCTCCTATTGGGTGTCCCCTGAGGAGGAGGAAGTGGGAAGAGTGAGTTTTCTGTCTTGATTCTCTCCAGTCTCTCATGAGCATCTTGCGCACGATGGTTCTAGTGCCTGTTTGCACCACGTGGGTTCTGGAGACCAACGCTTCTCATCGGGCGCTCAGCCAAAGGCACGGGCGTTGACTCCAGCTCTGAAGAGGCATTAGCTGAGTTATGCTGGCCTTTAGAGGGGCCCCTTCCCGAGAGATTTTCAACATGAATTTTGACCAATCTAATCCTACCCACTGATCCCCATGTAAGCTGTGGCTTCAGACTTCATCGTGCTCTGCCCTCCATTGTCATGCCCCAGTTTTCAATCCCCTTTTTCTCACCGGGGGCAAGTCCAGGAATCTCCCAGCTGGCCTTTCTGCTTCCTGTCTCTCCTCTAAAAAGTCCTTCCAGGGGCGCCTGGGTGGCTCAGTCAGTTAAGCATCCGAATTCAGTTCAGGTCACGATCTCACGATTTGTGAGTTCGAGCCCCACGTCGGGCTCTGTGCTGACAGCTGGGAGCCCGGAGCCTGCTTCAGATTCTCTAACTCCCTCTCTCTCTGCCCCTTCCCTATTCGCACTGTTTTTCCCCTCTCAAAAATTAAAAAAAAAAACAAAAAAACAAAAAAAACCTGTTTAAAAAATAAAAAAATAAACTAAAAAGTCCTTCCAAAGAAAAGATGTGTTCAAGTCCCTTCCTTGGATTAAAGTCATCAATGACTCATCCTAGAGAAGAAAATCTTAACTCCTCAACTTGACATTCAAGGCTGTCTCTTCTCCCGCTGCCACACAGGCTGTGCTCTGGTCATGACACTTATTGCATGTGGACTCTTATGCATGAACTCTTATTACATGTGGACAGTGGGTTCTATGTCTTGTTCACTGCTCTGTCTCCCACCCCCCCAGCCCAGGGCTACACCAGCCCACCAAGAGACGCCCACAAGAACATCTGCTGCAAACAAGGGAGAGGGTCAAAGACAGCCAGGCCGGAAGTGGAGGTAGCAGTGGGGAAGGTCCTCTGGGCTGGAATCACCTTTGGTCCTGAACTGGGGTGGGGGCAACCGTACCAGAACAGAAATTCACACCGGAAGCAACGTGGGGTAGGAGAGAACCCAGAAGGCCTGTGGAGTGCGAAGGAGAAGCGATAAGATAGGGTGCAGTGCTTCTCAGCCCGAGCAAGGGTTTGAGAGCCCGAATCAAAAGTTTTTTAAACTTCACACTCACCCTGAGATGGAGGCCTCCCACCCCCCACTTAGAATCTCAAGGGGTCAGGTATGGGGGGGGAGGTAAGAATAGTGGACAAGATGCATCTGATGGGTCCTCTGCCTCCTCCATGCCTACACCAACTTGTTAACACTCTTAGGGAGGACCCTGCCAGCATTTGAACATGGGCTCCGCCACTTGCTAGTCATGTGACCTTGGAAGCCTATTTATGCTTTCTTAGTCTTGAAAAGAGGGAGAGTATTTTTACTTACCTTATGAGTGAGTAAATGAGATGTTGCATGTAAAATGCCTGGTACTTCTTCACTCAATAAATAGCCACAGGCACTAATTATTATCATTATTAGAGGCTTTTTGAAGAGAAGGGCTGAGAGCTTTGTGCCTTCGCTAAAGCAGAAGGAAACAGGAAGACTTCAGGGCTGTCGCCGGAGGCTGCAGTGAGGAGTGGAACGGAGGGAGGGAAGGTTGCCGGAGGTTCAGGCTGGCGGGGGGGGGGGAGGAGCTGGAGGTGGGAACAGGTGGAACTGGTGGGTGTGTTGTTGGGCTTTTTCTGCCACCTAGTGGCTCCTCTGCGCTATGTCACCCCCTCGTGTCTGGCCGGGCGCAGGGGGGCGAGGCTGGATTGAATATTCCGGAGCACAGCATCTCCAGGTCTCTTCTGCTGCCTCCATTAAATGCCCTGTCCCCTCGGACACCCTGGCCTGTGACATATCCTCCACCTGGTCCTGGTGTGTGGGACGAGACTCCTTTCTCGAAGTGGAAATGATGGGGGAAGCCTTTGTTCTCCAGGCTCCTAGGCAGAGTGGGGAGCTGGTGGAGAGCACCCTCCGGCCCCAGCCTGCCCCTGCTGCTTTGATGACTGCTAATGGTATTCTGCCCCGGGGGGTTGGGAGGGATGCCAGGCCTTCTGGCACTGGCTGCCCAGACCGGCTCAGGGTCTGCAGTTGGGTTCTATTGAATTCTATATGTGCTACTGTGTGCAGAGCCTGGGTCAGGATTCTTTTGAGCTTTCCCATCCCACCTTCTCCAGAGGATTTCGCCTTTGTCTCCAGGATGAGGGAAAGGGGACGGAGAGCCGCGCCCCAGCCCACCCCGTGAAGAAGGGCCCAATGGGGGCCTCGGAGCCAGCTCTGCCTCTGGGTCTCATCACCTCCCTCCCCCATGAGAGGTGCCAGCCCCTTGGAGGAGGCTGCCTGGAATGATGTCCTCCTTGCATCATGTCTGGCTCCCACTTCAAAGGCCGCTGTGACTGTTTGGTGAGGGGTCTGAGTTTGGGTGAGGGGCTTCAGGAGGGGGCCAGGCGCTACATGTTGGGCTGGGCATCCGGGGTCAGGCGTCCACAGGCCCCTGCACCTGCCCTGCTGCACATTACTCTCCCCGCCCTCAACACCCACGTTTCCTCGCAGGGCCTCGCAGTCTCAGCTGCAACCCGGCCGAGATTGCATCATCCTTGGCTTTGTTCACAGAGCAGCAGGTGGAGGATTGGGGCCCTCCGTCCATGCCCCCCCGCCTTCCCGCTCATCTCCTTCTACTCCCTCCTGAGTAATCCTTCCTCCCTTCTCCGGCAGCTCACCCCCACCCTGGGAGTTGTCTGCCTTCCTGCTGGCTCTCAGATCCCTTCCCACCTTCTCCTGCTCCCCAGGGAGCCCCTGAGGCAAAGGGAAGGAGGCTGGGGCTGGAGTGCAGAAATCTGCACCAGGCTGGAAACTGCCCTCATCATTTCTGTCCCCCACCCAGTGGAAGGCAGGTGCCACCCTCAGAAGGAACGCCTGGTTGCAGTCAGGGTACCGTCTCCCAGAATTTGGGAACAAGGTTAGAAACGGTCACCTGATAAAGCTAATAGTAATTACCACGAGATGAATGAATTCAGCTCTTTGTAGTAAGTCCTTAACTTTTATTGACAACTTACGAGCCTGTCCGTGAACCAAGAATGTTATACTCACATCCCAATCTTTCATCAACCCTGTGAGATGGTACTATTATCACTCTCGGCTCACGGAGGAAGAAGCTAGAGCTCAGACAGGCGAGATAGCACATGGCTACTAAATGGCAGACATGGGACCTGAACCTTGGTCTGTCTCCCCCCAGCAGAACTCAAAGCTTCTTTAATGTTTATTTATTTTTCACACACACACACACACACACACACACACACACACACACACACACACACACTGTGAGTGGGGGAAGGTCAGAGAGCCAGGGAGACACAGAATCCAAAACAGGCTCCAGACTCCAAGCTGTCAGCACAGAGCCCGATGAGGGGCTTGAACCCACAAACTGTGAGATCATGACCTGAGCCGAAGTCGGACCCTTAACCGACTGAGCCACCCAGCGCCCCAGCAGAACTCAAAGCTTCTTGAAAAGATGGTTGGAAAATTCCATGCTGATCAGACTAGGATTTTCTTTTGTACCCCCTAAATAGAGGGTTTTTAAAAAATTTATTCATTCATTATTTTTTTTAATGTTTATTCTTGAGACAGAGACAGAG